TAGATGCACCTGTCCGTACCTCGGCCATAATTGCCTCCTGATCGACGTAAGCGATACTTCAACTGCAACAGACACTTGCGGACCGCATTAATGATTTACAGTCAAGGAATTCGTCTAGCAGGCGCAATTTCCCAATCACAAGTTCCATGGCAAAATTTTTCTCCCGTACTCGTAATTATACATTAAAGGGTCTTCGCAACTAATTCCCATTATGAATCTAGACCAGTGCTGTCATACGCTGTTCAACGGTTTTTTGTTACAACGAAGAATCCTGTGCTGTACAGTAACAGACAAAGGAAAGGTAATTTCGCAGAAAGCAATATTTCATTCATAGCCCAAATAGTGAACAGTTTACCAAATCATTGGAGGCCAAAGCGGTCCTTCCATTTAACTCTGACTGTATTTAGCTGTCGTTGAGGACGCTGGAACGAGAAAGCTCAACTCTCAATGAGTCTCATATTCCACTTGCAAATTCTAGCGCTGAGAATGTCTCTCATAAATTTCAACTTCCAGGGACTGTTTCAGCTATGCAACATATGGCTTCCGTCAAATGACTAAGTCCTACTATGAATCCGGACAATATCAGCTGCGTACCGCATGTCAATAAGTTTTCTGGTCGGATATCTTGAATGGAGCTTTTCTTCTAAAACCAGTTCATTGTCTCTGTCAAGTCAGCAATGAGAGGAGAAAGTCGAGAACAACTGTTGAACTGCAATCGTGAAAACATACTTCCTTGACGAACTTGCAGTTAACAGGAAATTATTCACACTGCACTAATCAGCAGACATGATTTCCCATATAACTCTACCAAAGTGGAAACGATGTGTCCAAGTATCCCACAGCGGTTCAAGATTTCTCACGTCGTTGGACCACTAACTGAATCAGATGCCGCAATACAGTCAAGGAAACAGCAAATCAATGCAATCAAAATCTTTGGTATTCCTTAATTACCGGGTCGAGCCCACTACTTACTTGATTTGCAGAACACTATGACCTACTCTTGATACTTAACTGGAAGACCATACGCCTCAACAGACTACCGGAAAAGGTCTGAAAAGCTTACGAAATGTTTGAAAGATACTTCAGGGCATCACTTACGGCAAAATTAAGTTTAAACAGCGCGGCTGCCTTGGCTAATGAAGTCTGGGCTGGCGTGGCTGATATCATATTTAAAAATGGCGTGCTCCGGCCAAAGAAAACATTCTGGTCTCTAACGAAAGAAATAAGCCACAGCGGCAAAATCCTATCTTTCCGTTGAGCCCGGAGGTGAGAAACATCAGTCTCTGGGAAGACGGTATTCCTCTCACACGCTCCCTCTAACTTTTTTATAGACATTATGGGTTTGGGTAAACCGTAAAACATTTGGGCTCAGAAAAAAGGAGCCATTTCCACAAAACTTCATTGTGCCGGTAAGTTCAGCGTCGTCGTATGGAAGAAAAATCAAGAACGACGGTTGAACTGCGTACAGCAACGACGAATTCAGTGCAAAATGAAGGATAAACGCCAAAACCACATAAGGAATAATACCGTTTTCCTCCGGGAACAGAAGAGCTTGATAGATATAAAGATTAAAAAAGGTGCTTGGATCTGTCAGACAAACGGATTGAAGATAACACCATTTATTCCAGCCCGTGAACTTCTCGAATGGGAGCCAGAACACCGCACATGTTGACTACGTGGAGAAATAAGATTGCTTTCGGAAAACTTGCTTTCGAAGAAGAGCATTTCTTTCTACAATGGAGTAACCGGTGTCTGGTAGCAAAAGTGCTGGAAGGGAGCGAATAACTTTATATCAAAAACAAAAGACGTCCTGCTTATGCAAAGGGCAGAAGGCGATGGCTACAAAATCACACATCAATGACTTGTGTTGGTATAGTTCAGAAAGTGAAAATATGTAAATGATCTACATTACAGTATACGACAACGCAGAAACTGGTTTATGTAGCTGATAATATTGGCATGAAAAGTATGACCAAAAATTAAATAAATTAGCAGCAAAATCGTACTAGCAAAATTTAGATTACAGTAAAACAAAGTGACAAAGCATAAAACACATTCAAGCACATAGCAATGACTGAAAGAAAACAGGAAGGAGAAATACAAGAGTTGGCCTGCATGAGTGCGAATACAGGTACCGTATGGAATGCAAACCCAAGTAATGGATCAAATGTCAGTTTCTCTCGTTACTATGGTAACCCTGAATAGCTGATAAACACTCCAAAATAGTCACTTAACGCGGCAATGGCAATTTGAAACTCAGATATCCCCCTCCCATATCTTTAAGGAACATCTATCGAAAGGAAGGGAAGTTCAGTCAGACTAGTGCTGAACTCACAGGCAAAAGATTGCATTGATTGCCTTTCATATTTCTTAGGCAAATAAGCTGGTCTCACTTTATGGAAATAAAATGGGTGACGATAAGCTGCAAGTATATGCTACACAGCTTTTGATACTGCATTCAGAAAAGGTCCTTCTAACTGAATATATCGTAATCAATAACATGTCACAAGCTCCATGAAAAAGGATGTGGTCAGTGGCGCCCATTACCTAAAAGTAAAAGCAGCCGATACACTAACTGTAATGGTTGTTTTCCTCCCCAAAAGAAGCGATACACGGCAGTACAAAAGGTCGAATTATTGGGCACCGCCTGTGCTTATCGTTCAGAACAGCACTCGAAATACGTACTGAATCAACCACTTAAAGGAAAAACAGCACGCAGGTACAATATCCCAAAAGGGCAGTAACGGCTACATATCTTGCTATGTGGAGTATGCAGATGATACTATTTTAATGGTTTCTGTATAAAATAAAGTTGCCGAAAGTCACCTAGTTACTTAACATTCAAAAGACAAACATCACCTCATAAAGGATTCCCAAATGCAATGTGAGCAGTAAAATTACTTATATGCAGTTACCTTAACGAATGTACAAGATGGTAAAAAATGTGTAAAACAGGGCCTCGATCCGTAACGAGGTTAAAACGTCAGAATTACTTAAATACTACTCTACCGTTTGAGTACATTGACTCTTTCTGCAAAACTAAGTATAAGGAAGAAGAGGTTAGCGCCACGAACATAAACCTTTCAGTCGAGGCAGTGGAGTTCTGATGCGGGAATTGGAGCGCAACAGACATCGACTAATAATCTAGAATGAAAAATAGTCAAGCAAGACTGATGCAGACCTATCCTCAGAGAGAAACTGCTGGTCCGCATAAGAGGTGCGTCCTAGCAGTAGTGCAGAAACAGCTGAGAATTAAGGGAACGCACGTGCCGATGACGGATTGCAAATGGAAACTGCTGGAGGTGATGATCATAATGTTGTCGCTTGTCGTTATTTGGAGAATGGCAGCTTAACAGCTCCATAATGCTGTAGGACCGCCTAACACATCTGAACCAGCTGTACAGAAGTTTGACACATGGCAAAAAAAAACAAATCGTATATGATTTGCATGAAGTTTTCAGAAGCATCTCCGAAGCTAGGCATCCTATCTGTGTCGGAATCGTTCTTTGCTCACACCCTAAGACAGTCACATGTTACCCATTAATGTTTCCGTGTTCAGTAAAAATTCGTATTTAATATTTTTCAGGTCATAACCAAAACCTTTAATTTCTCATAACTTTCACTTAGTGAAAATTCAAATTTTAAGAAAGAAAACACTACCTCCCCCTGCCTAAACAATTCGTAAGATGGCGGATGGATACATTTACTATCAGAATGAACTGATAACTGACTGAACGTCGTGATGTTTGCAAACAGCAAAAGAAATTAAACGTGTGACAGAACAGCTGGTACCGGGAACGGACAGAATCCCCATCATCGACTTATCATCGCTT